AATTGGGAAATTGATAATATGAAAAATAAATAAATAATAAATTGGTTTAATGAAAAAGCTAAATTATGTAACACATTTTTTATTTATTTCACTAATTTTCTTCATTTTTTGATTTTTTTTAACTCATTTTTTATTTATTTCACCCATTTATTTATTTAATTTTGGCTGAAATGGCTCTCCATATTCATGATGTTTTCCAGCGTTTATTTTGGAAAACAAATTAGTGAGGCGAAATATTTTAGATGTTTTTCTTTGATTAATCACCTATAAATCAGACATGGTGACATTTAAAACAGTGGCTCCAAATGAAAAATATTCCTCAGTGCCTTTCTGTAATACACATACAAACAGTTGTATTTCCAGTTTATAGTTTGGGAGCCGTGCTTTCTTTAATTCAGGTAGAATTTGCTCCTAAGACCCTCTGGGTGTAAGGAGTTAAAATGGTTGATTAGGCATTAAACCAGGAAGCTGCTGGAAAAACTGTGTCGATTTTACTCGGTTGACCATCTTGGAGAATTAGCCACTTGTCTCTCTGAGGATTTAAGGGTCAAAGTGTTTAAATGTAATCTGCTCTAAACAATCTGGTTCCCACGTCTTGACCTTTAAGGCGGTTTATCTGATCCTGCTGCTCTAACCAGGAGAGGACTAATTAAAATAAACGTTTGATGGTAAAACATTAAGATAGATTCTCTTTGACTTGTCAGCATGGGGGTCAACCAGGAGTGTCCAGACTACACATCTGCCGGTCCCAACAGCTGCCACTTCGACAAAAGCCACACGTCCATCTGGAAGCTGTACTGCATGAACGTGACGGCCGTCACCGCCCAGAGGAACTACACCTCCCAGGAGTACTGCCTGGACGTGGCCGAGATCGGTAAGGAGAGGCCAGAGTAGAGCTAACGGGGAACGGAAGAGAACGGTTTCAGGGCTGAGTGACCCGTTTCATCCCGTGAGGGAATCCAAATGCAGCCGAGCTGCAGGCAGAACAGATTTACCATTAAGCAATGCTACACTGGGAAAAATCGAAATCTAGATAAGTCATTTTTTCTTAAAATAAGTGCATTTTTTCTTGAAATGAGGAGTTAAGTGAGACATTTTGCCAATGGAACAAGACAATTTACATTTAAAATAAGAAAAAACTATTTCATTATCTTATTTCAAGTGCATATTATCTAATTACCTGATTTTAAGAGTGAAAATCCTCATCCCATTGACAATCTTATTTACCTACTCAAATTAAGGGTAAATGCACTTAATTTAAGACATTTTGACTTATTTCTAGGTAGTTTTTGCAGTGTACACTGGAAAAATGAGTCGGCAAATGAGATATTTCGCCAATGAAATGAAAATTCTTCCTCTTAAAATAATATAATTAGATAAAATGCGCTTGAAATAAGACAATACTATTGTTTTTTCTTATTTTAAGTGTAAATTGACTCGTTCCATTGGCAAAGTCTGTTTTACCTCCTTAATCCAAGAACAAATTAACTTATTTTAAGAAAAAATGACACATCTAGATTTAATTTTTTTATTTATTTTTTTTCAGTGTTGGCAGTTGCCTAGGACCCCAAGTTCCTGGGGGCCCCATAAAACTCTGTTTACATGTATGGTTAATACTACTATTCCTTATTTTTGCACATTAATTATGTTTTTGATAAAAATTATTTGGCTAAAATGCCATCAGAACACTGATAATATTAAGTATGTCTGAATTTAGGCAGCTTAGCCTTTCCTGGATGTTACCGTGCCAACTTGGGCAGAACGTATGTCGCCTAGCAACCATGACTGGATCTCTCATATATCGTATCATGATCTACTTTTTTGTCTTTTTTAGAGCTTTTATCGGATTATATCTATTTCTTTTAAAGTAGAATTTCGGTCAGCAAGGAATGATCAATTGATCATTATTTATCCCTAAAACAAATACGTTGGCCGTGATTTAATGAATTAAAAAAAATAAAAACAATATTTTTAGTGATTTAATTTCTACAAAATAACCTCATATAAGCAGAGTTAGTCTAACAATAAGGTAAATTCCACTGAAGTTAGTAAAGGAGCAAAGAGTTTAAACATGATAGGACAAATTTAGGTGTTATTTTTATGTTAATAAATGCACATCCTCAGCTATCCAGTAGGGGGAGCTGCTGCAGCCCCTAAACGCCTTTTCAGATCAGCCTGGGTTTCTGCTTCCTACTGAACAGGATTATGGCCACTGAAAAATAAGAAAACTGAAATATTTAAAAATCAGTTAACCTTTTTTTTTTTTTTTTTCTGTCGCACTAATGCTCTTCCGTAGGTTCCTAACTTTACCTCAGAAGCGTGGCCAGAAAATGTGTGTAAGGGTGGCCATGGATTAACTAATGTGCACTGAGGGGCGGATGAAAGCGGATAGGAACCAGAACCTCGGGGTCAAACTATGCTGTTCCAACAGGAAATAGAAAAAACATCCATATTTTCTAAATAAAGACAACCTCTACTTTCCTACAGCCTTTGCAAACAAATAGACGCATATATTTAAACATCCACGCTAAATAACAGGTGTAGTGGACAAAACTTCTGGGGTGAACATCTTTTCCAGTTTCATTAGTTACCTACTTTTATTTATTTTTTTTAAATCAGTGTATTTACATGTAATATCAACATTAAATGGATTTTTAGGTTATTAAACTAGTTATTTGTATATGAGTTAACTGATTTCACTCCTTGATGACTTGCAGAGACACATCATTATTTCTTTACGCCATAAAACACAGAATATAGCATGAATTCTGTTTATATCAACTTTAATGTTAGTTTTTTGATGTGCTTAATTAACCAGAGTGTTTTAGTTGTCAATTAATTGTTAATATATGAAATATGTTTAATAAGTTTGAACATTCCCCTTGAGCATATTACTGCTGTGTGTCTGTATTAGAGGACGAAAAAAATGGTAGGGGTGGGCAATGATTGGCCACCTCTGGCCCCCCATCTAGCTACGCCCCTGCTTTACCTCCGTCTGGTTCCATGTTTGGTTGGTTTGACTGAAAAGCGGATAAACTGTTTTTTTTTGTATAAATCTGTTTGCTGGGAATAAATCACGTTTAAAATTGTTGAAAAATCAAATAAAAATCCTGGAAGCCTCTTGGTTTAGTTTGTTGCCCCTTTTCTTCCAGTTTTCCACCTGTGAAAACCAGCTGCCTCTTTATTCTTACTGCTGCCGTTTCACTGATGGAGCTGATATTTGGAACCAAACTCCTGAAACCTGCAGAAAATAATTGGTCTGAACAGCAGCTGTCGTTTTTATCTCCTTTATGTCGGTTGCTGTCAGGATCAGTCTACTTCCTGCATCGTGGGACCAACCACAGGTTCCCATGTGTGCTTTATCAGCGTTGACCTGCGTGCGGCGGCCATGCGGTCGGCCTGTGGTTGCCATGGTGATCTCCTAGTTTGTGTCAAGGCATTGCAGTAAGGCAGGAAAGCGGCTGTTATCAGGGTGGCGCAGCGGTGCAGGGCCGCCGCCGCAGAAAGGTCACAGTTTCCTGATGTCGGAGTTAATCCTCCGAGGAGACGTTGGCCTCTAAGCAGCCCGCTCCTCGCCATAGGTCAGCCTAACTGGAAAGGTTAGTTTCTGGAGAATCTAACCTGTAGGCAGGGGCGGATTTAGGAAATGTGGGGCCCTAGGCAAAGACAGGCAGGGGGCCATCTGAGCATAGAAGACAACACATTAAAAACACCCATTATACAGATAAATGTTAATAGAATAGACATCCATTATCTGTTCTAGGTTGTGTCCCTCTCTTCTTGTCCCTTTTCTTCTTGTTTTCCTCTCTATGTTTTGTACTCAGCTGACTTTTCATGCCGTCTCTAAAGGAATGAAAGATTTTTTCCAAGCACTAAGCTCACTTAGCTGATTGCTCCTTCCTGTGTTTCCAAAAAGGCCAAAGTAAATAACCCAGTCCTTCTTTTCACTGTAGACAAGCCATGATCTGCTTCTCTGTTCTCCATGTTTCATTTGGATGAAATAATAGCTGCATGAATCATGACAGCAGACAAGATAGAGGAGAGCAGGAGGCGGGGTTACCAATCTACTCGCTCTGGAGAGCAGAGTTCGCTGCTTTTAGATGTTGTCTCCAAAGTCTCCAGTAGCAGAAAAAACTCTCTAGATTTGGCGCTAGGAGCTTTTTAGAAATCAAAGTGCTAGAGGGGTCTGAAAAGTGGCTAAATATAGCGACTAAAGCGCTAAGTTGGCAACACTGCAACCATGTATGTAAACATAGTTTTATGCAGCAACTGTCTAGTATTCCCTAATGATAAATCCCCCCCCACCCCGCCGTAAAAACATGACAATAAGCAGAAAACAATCTCCATCAGAGATAAAGAGGTTTGAGAGAGAAAACTGCTTCCAGAGGAGCTGCTGTGCTTCAAAGCATCAGATATTTAATAAATATTGACGTCAGCAGGGAGTCTGCAGAATTCCTACCTTTGCAGCAACATCATTCTCCTTATGGCTCACACAGATCATCAGTATTTATTGTTAAATTGATATTTCTCCAGCTAACCTCATTGAGACGCCAGTTTTCATTGTTTCTCTCCATGAACAGTGGAGACGGAGTCTCCGGTCAACCTGACCGTCTCGCTGAAGGACGCCGGCGGCGACGAGGCGGGCCACAGCGCGCAGATCTCCTGGACGTACCCGGTGCCGGAGGACCTGAGCTACGGCTGGATCACGCTGGTGTACGAGCTGCAGTACAGACGGATAAACGAGGAAGGCAACTGGAAGGTACGGAGGGAATAATGCTCCGTTATTGTTCTGAGAAAAGAACAGATTTCTTAAAAGAGAAATAAAACGAAATGCAATCCAGAAAAAAATTTTTTATTTATAAACATTTGGAGAGTAACTTTGCTTTTTTTTCAGCTTTATTTTACCAATTTTCTACGGAGCCCCTAAAGGGACATGGAGGAAAAAAAAAACTTTTGCGAGATCTCGCAAAAGTATTGCGAGATCTTGCAAACGTTTTGCGAGATCTCGCAAAAGTATTGCGAGATCTCGCAAACGTTTTGCGAGATCTCGCAAAGTAAAACAGATGTCCTGATTCACACTCCTTGCTGGTTAGTGGCGGTATTGCACCACATAGTTGTTTGCCAACCGCCATTAAATAGAAGAAGAAGAAGAAGAAGTAAACAGACACAAAACAATGGAGGCGCAAACAGATCATCCATGGGAGAAGTTTATTCATTTCTATTTTAGTATTGGCCTGACATATAAAGACATCAAATCCGTACTTGGATGTAGACATGGATTCGACATTAGTGAGAGACATTTGAAAAGATTACTCAGGGCGAGGGGACTTTCTCGTCGTAAAGAATACAGTGATCTTGCGGTCCTGGTGGAATTCATCAGTAACGAGCTACAGTTCTCTGGTCAGCTTCATGGGTACCGGTGGATGTACGCAAAGTGCAGAGAGCATGGACTACTCGTTAAGAAGGAGGATGTGAGGTTGGTGCTGAAGGAGCTAGATCCTAGAGGAGTTTCTTTAAGGCAAGCAAGACGCCTAAGACGACGGAGCTACTTTTCGAGAGGGCCTAACTTCATTTGGCACATGGACAGCTATGACAAGCTGAAGCCATATGGCTTTTGTATCAACGGAAGCATTGACGGTTTTTCGAGAAAAATCATCTGGCTTAATGTCTATACCACGAGTAGTGACCCCAAGTTGATTGGGGGTTATTACGTTGATGCAGTCCAACGTTTAGGGGGCTGCCCTAGGATTGTGAGAGGCGATTTAGGGACTGAAAACGGCCATGTTAGAGGCTTTCAGCGGTTCCTCGTCCCGTTTCATCCAGACGGCACTGTTGATAGCTACCTGGAGGGAGCAAGCACCGCCAATCAGAGGATCGGGTGTTGGTGGGGTTTTCTGCGAAACCAGTGCGTGGAGTTCTGGATATCCTTGTTTGCAGACATCAGAGACACTGGATATTTTGACGGCGGGTTTCTGGACAAGGCTATCCTTCAGTTTTGTTGCATGGGACTGATCCAGGTGAGTTTTGTGTTTTGACGTAAATGTGTGTGAGACTGAGGAGAGAGAAAGCTGGAGGGAGCAGGGGAGAGGAGAGAAAGAAAGGCCAATTTTGGATACGTTTTTGAACTATTTTAAGTTTACATGTATGTACAGTTCCTCCTAAATGTATTTTGTGTATTTTTAACAGGATGAACTGGAGGACACTGTCCAAGTTTGGAATGCACACACCATCAGACCATCGAAAAACATCAGTGTCCCCAGTGGTAGACCGAATGTGATGTATGCCTTGCCTCAACTCTATGGGACCAGAGACTTTCTATCCCTTGTTGAAGATGAACATATTCAGTTGTGCAAAGACGAATGTGTTTTTCGGCAGCTGATACCATGTGATCCAGATGTGTATGGACTATGCAACATCTTAATGTCGGAGTCACATCTGACTCTACCAAGAGATCCTTATCAGGCTGTGAACCTGTACAGGCACCAAAGAGAGGCCATCACTGCAGCTATTTAAGTCAGGAATATTTAAAATGCCCTGTAGGGGAACAATTATTCCCAAACCATTTTAATAGCTGATTATTCATTTAAATTATTTTTTGTTAACATTTCACAAAATGTTTTCTATGTCTTAGATGTAAATAACCATCAGTATCAGCCTGTGTGCAGTGACAAATTAATAGTGAAGATACAGTATCTGTGAATAAAGCCACACATTTTAATGTTAGTGTAGCGGAATTCTTTTTTAATTTTTCTGTATGTAAAACATTTACAAACATTTGAAACCCTGAGGTAATGTAAACTTTGCCAAATCTGACTAGTTTGTCAATAAAAAAAAGTTATACAAACATTCAAGGTCACTTCTTGGGCAAATGCACTCACATAAAAAAATACATGTGATAGCATGAAGTTACAGTAGTACATTAGATCAATATGATGGAAACATTGTAATAATTCAGAAGGGCATATTACACAGACAAACTCAGCTTATACATTTTGTAAACAGGAACACTGGATAGGTATCTTCGTATTGAGTTTTAAACTGCTTCTGAATAAGCAACTAACTGGCATGACTTCAAAAGGAACAATCACTAATTCTACCAGTGATTAACAATTCTGTAAATAACAGAATATCACCCTTATATGCTTTTAAGAAAAGAAGTCCAGCATAGAAACTGGGTTAGATTTAAAATAATCAAACAGAAAGCTGCAGTCATTTTCAAAGTATAATTTAAAATATAAAATCTGTTAAAAAATGGAGGTGTATTATTGCACCAGTAAAACAAATAAAGTGCATGCTGAAAAGGAAATGAGACTGCTTATCATGATGTCAGTGCATCAGATGTTTAAATGACAAAACATAAATACATAAATAAATGATTATCAACCATACCATGAGGCCAGTTACTTCTTGGCCTAGTTAAACCTGGTCCCACATTTAAATGATGTCCATTTCTAAGTAATTGCTGGACAGGATATTGTCAAACTCTGTCCGAAATTCTGGGTAAGAACTGTATGTACATGGCACATCAATTGTAGCTCCACAGGTATGAGCAACAGGCCTTCTGTTGAGGCCAGTTTCAGCATTAAAGCTAACCATAATCTTCTCAACACATATAACTGAGGAACCTGTGCAGAAGCGTAGGATTTTCTCAGCTTTTGCTTGATCAGCATTTTTCACATAACGTTGGAGATGGTTTAAGGTTGTTTGTTCTCTTTGAGACAGCACCACCTTATTAGTTTCAAGCAATTGCATTACTCTTTTGCCCGTAGGCTTCTTTAACTCATAAACACTCAACACACTTTCCTTATCTGGTAGTTTAAACCTCACAAGTGACATGGGTGTGGAGAGGCAATCTACAATAAATTTGGGCTCTTGGAGAATTGCTTTGTGTGCCATTAGTTCTATGGCAGGCTTCATGTTGTTCTCTGGAGGTAGGAAATGGGAACCCATCCGTGTGAAAAGGTCAAGCAAGTCCTCTTGATCACTTTCATCCAGTGTTCCCTGAAGAGCCTTCTCAACAGCTGATCTCTCAATGGGAGGGAGGTAGTTGAGAAATGATGACATCAGGATGTCTGTATCAACATGGTCAATTCCATTGATGCATGCTAAAATAAAAGCCATTGATAGCTTTACTGGCATAACACCATGATCTACAAATCCTTTAACCCAAATCCGTCCAACTGCTTGCCATTCAGCCTCAGAAAAATCTGGCCTAAGCCTTGGAACTCGCTCTGTTTCTCCTTCACACTGTTCAAGAAATTGCTCCCAGAAGGCTGTGTACACCTCCCTAGACACTCCGGCATCATCAATAGCTTTTTCGTTGACAAAGTCCATCTTTAAAGTCATATTCATGATGCTGCTGTCAGTAAATACAGGCAAAAGATCATCAACAACCTTTATCCTGCAAACTGAAGCACGCCGTGTGGTCTGGGGACTTCCTGGGTTGCTGTCTGTTGGCATGTGGCTGCTTGAATGAGAGGGCAAATTGAAATTTAGCCCACTGTCCAGCTAGAAGAACAAAACACACAATTAAAAATCAGAATTGTCAAAGAATAAAGCAGAGGCCAAAGTATCCTAAATTTTGGCATGTTTGTTAGAAGGTTACTGATTACCAACTAGGTTATCTATGCGCCTAAGATGTCATAATGTAAAAACAATGTTATTCATGTGAAGATACCTGGCAGTGGAGTCACACCAGAGTATGGTGTTTTCAGACGTCAACTAGAGCGCACCAGAGTTCGGCTAGAGCTAAACTGAGACCATCTCTTCAGGCGGCACTAGTTTATTAAGCATTAGAGTGCAATTGTGCTATCATACTGTGTCAAACTGGACCATATTTAAGTCAATCTAAATTTAGATTGACCTAAAGATCGAGGTGAGAAAAAACACCCTAAGATAAGAATTCCTTTAATATCACAAATTAACAAAATTTGGGTTCTAACAAAGCTTAAAACTACAGCCTATTTCTGTAAAAAATGCTTTATTGGATTTATATCACATTTGTAATTAAAGTGAGAATGCATCAAACATTAGAAGATATTGGGAGATATATTGGAAGATATTAATTTATTTTATTTACTTCTCTGATTTCTTTTTCACCGACGATTTTTATTTCTCCCCACTAGGGGGTTCTGTAGCACCCTCAGCCCCCTGGGGCCTTCATCTCAAGCATATTTTTATGAGACCATGTTACAAACTGCACCCCTTCTCACACTGGTTTCTGTTCAAAATTTGTGATCTCCTACCACAATAATAGTTAACACTGATGACATCAATTTGTTTGAAGTGGTGTGTCTTACCTGGGCAGCTTGCACTGCTTCCTCGTGTATGGACTGCTGCTCATCCAGGTTAAGCAGGCCATCACCTGAAGGGAGTAGAAGCTCTATCACCTGTGTAGGAGCACCACCCAACTCTGTCCTCTGAAGAATACAATAAAAGACAGCAGATACATTAACCCTAAAATCAGATTTATTTTCAAAAAAGTTTTTCATAATTACTTTTGTGCATGAGCATAACTTCCAGTCAACATCAGGAACACTCCAGACAATGTTAAGAAGTCCACTTAGGTTTTAGGATAAAAATGAAAATATTTAACATATTAGAGACATAACAGTACAATAAAGTTATAAGTCAAAGATAAAATTGCTGCACAATTCTAGTAATTAGACGAAAGGACTTAACTGACTCCCAATTTCATTAAATATAAAAATTAGTATTTGTTTTTAATACCCCATCAAACATGTGATATTAAAATTCAAAACATCCATCCATCCAACCATTTTCTGACCCGCTAAATCCTTCATGGGGTCGCTGGGCTCTATCTCCAGCATTCACTGGGTGAGAGGCGGGGGTTCACCCTGGACAGGTCGCCAGTCTGTCGCAGGGCAACACATAGACACAGGACAAACAACCATTCACGCACACACTCACACCTAAGGACAATTTAGAGGAGCCAGTTAACAGTCATGTTTATGGACTGTGGGAGGAAGCCAGAGTACCTGGAGACAACCCATGCATGCACAGGGAGAAAATGCAAACTCCATGCAGAAAGACCCAGGATTGGATTTGAGCCCAGAACCTTCTTGCTGCAAGGCAACAGCGCTACCCACTGTGCAACCCCAAAATGTATATCTTTATTAAGAAATTGTAAACAAAATATTACCTGTGTGTCATCCTCATCAACATGTTTTAAATTGATAACCACCACATCATCGTCCGAATCCCACACAAGTGTATCTGCCTCGTCAAACAAGGGGCCCGGTTCCGGTAAAGTGACGTCACTCGTGTTTTCTCTTCCGTCAATGCTGCTATTTTTTATGTCTGTTGGGGTTGACTGAAAGGGATGTGATGGACCTGGACTTTGTGCTGTCTCATCCTCAGATATTTTCCTTAACCTTTTTGATCTTTGTTGCATCTGAAAACAAATCAAAGACACAGTGCTTTAATTTCTTCAGTAGTAATCAAAAAAATAAATGCTGTGTAACAATACATGTTAAAACACAAAATCTATTAAAGGGGTGGTTGAACATACTGACAAATTGACCTATGTAATAATACTTAGTCATATGAATATGACTATTCCCTTCATTCAGCAGCACCTGACGTTTTTTGAACCATGAAGCAGCTCAGTAAACACAATGGAGGTGAACGCACGTTCCTCAAAACTTAAACACATCATCCAACAACTACAATACTTACCTCACTGTATATATAGATGGACAATTGTAATAAAGTTAGGGACAAGAGTCACTAACTTTATTAGTGACTCTTGTCCCCTTAACATCTGTCCATGTCAGTATCGTTATATTATTTATTACAAATATATGTGCATATACCTGGGCGCTTCCGTCACTATCAGTTGAATATGAACTATCCTGCAGATCTGTGATGACTGACTGAGATCCATCTTCAAACTGACCATTTTCCTCAGATGAGTGATCTTTTGGAGCTCCCTCTTTAGTACAGATGTAAAATCTGAGAAGTTTTAGTTTAGTTTGTTCATACATTTGGCCAACAGTGTGATTAAAGGGAATCTTGTTCCTTTTAAAATCGCAGATGTCAAACGTGAAGTCTTCAGCTCGCCCTTTTGTGGACTGCCCATCAGGAAAAAATAGTTCTTTTCCTAATTCCATGATCTGAGCAACAGTAGCTGTTTTTGCCATTGTAGAATGTCTCGTGCCTCCCCCACTGTTGGTCCGTACTTGACTGTATCCATTAATGCCAAAATGAAGCCATCCAATTTCAACCTTTCTTGAAGCCTTCTCTCCTGCCCTATTTCTTTCTCTGGCCATGGTATTTTGGAGTTCGTCTGGGGTTCCACTCGGTGATCCTCTTGTCTTTGATTTCATTTTGCGTGCCCCTATTTTACATTTCAATCTCTCTAAAAGAGTGTCTTTACTGATGCTTTGGCACTGTGTTTGTTCACAGAAAGATAGCACAGCTACTCTATCACCATATGTGTTTATGTATTTTGACATTTGCTCATCACTCATGATGCGCAACACTGCTTTGTCAACCTGCAAACAGAAGAGAGAAACACTAGTGTCAGTACAGTGCATTGTATCTATTTTGATGAATCAGAAATTTTTTTTATACTTTGCTTATTAAGATGCATCAAGACAATCAGAAATCTAGTTTAGTGCAAATTACATGCCATTTATGTATTCCCATGTATTAACTTATTCAGTGTAGTTGCAGATTGTTCTAGAAAAAGTTTTAAAAGCCCTATAAAATATACTGTGTTAGCATTCGTTCTGACACAAGTCAACTTTTGTGCATTAAATAATTTCATTAATCACTGCAATTAATGCACCATTTAATTTGGAAGATGAGGATTCCTTGATTCAGCATGGAAAAATTAAAAACTTCTGTGGTTGACGTTCTCCATTTCATGGCACAAAAACATTGTGCGTCCAGGTTATCTCAACCTGAAAAAAGCGAAAACCTGACCCTGTGTGAGTTAAGCTATATAACTAAAACTCCACCTATAACCAAGTATCTTATAGACAGGTATAGATTTATCTATGAATTTGCATACACAACCCATTTATGAATGAATGCATTTCATCAATTTATCCTTATGGTTAATCATTTAAAATAAATATTTAATTTGCTAACTTGAATATCAATTATTCAAATTTATTTGAAATGTACTCTACATTAATTAATGTATGTTTCAGAAAGGTAGTCATCCTAATAAAGTAAAAAAAAAAAGTGTCACAGACCTTTATATAGTCGTTAGTTGTTATTTATTTTATAGTTTTACTCTGATGCTTGATAAAATAGTCAAGAAATGCAGATTGGAAAGGATTCCAACTGCTTGCAAGGTGTACTTTGCTAAATAAATTCAATTCGATTAAATTTTATTTATATAGTGCCAATTCATTAAAACATGTCATCTTAAAGGAATAGTACACCCAAAACATGATTAGCCTTCATTTTCTACTCACCCCCATGCTGAACAACACTCTGGAGTACTTTTTTGATATCTCAAATGCATCTGGAGATCTGGGAGGCTTCTTGCTGTCTGCTGACATTCAAATAATGGAGGTCTATGGCGCCCGAGGCAGAAAGGTCCATAAAAGTCCACAAAAAACGTGTCAATATTCCTCCATACTGCTCGTCCAATGTATTCCAAGTTTCCTGAGTGGGTAGCATCCAGAATTTACTCGAAACGAAGTCATTTAGAATGTTTTTAGAGCATAAACAGTAGTGGCTTTGCAGCAATCCCGCATACTGAGCAAGCATGAAGCGACATTACACTGTAAATAAAGCTCACCAGGACAAGCTTTGCTCTTTAAACCACCCGTGCCTGAAAACATGTCGGCTCTATTAATTTCACAAATTTTATACTATGATAAATCACTGGCAAGGAACGTTAACAAGCTGGTAATGACGATACAGGTTTTCGGAAATAAAAATCAACCAGACTTGACAGTCAACAGTATGCTCGACCAGCCAGGGAGTTCAAAGTTACCAGTTTTATCCTCTACTCAAGTTTCATGATATCATGTTAACATTGTTATTAGGCTAGTATGCATTCACTATAATTGCAAGAAAAACAATCATGCATTTCTACAATTCTACGAATAATACCAATATTAGCTAACGATAGCATACTATTCACGAAGCTATTCACTCTACTTTCGTCACGAATGCCTTGTTGCTAAATTTACGTCAGGTTATTTAATGGATTGTTTACTGACCTTGTCTCTCTTCATTCGTGTAATGTCGTCTTTTGGGACTTCTCTAGAAATTAAGAACCTCTCCAAATCGTCCTCCATGGTTGTAGCTGACAGATGGGCGTTTTATCCTTTTCGCTTTGCGCCTCCGCTGTTGTGTGTCTGGTTTACTTCCGGTTCGCCCCCGTATGTTCAATTTCCGGTTTGCCGACGTAGAAAACCTTTTTTTAATCTTTTCAAATGTCTCTCACTAATGTCAAATCCATGTCTGCAGCCGAGTGTGGATTTAATGTCTTTATATGTCAGGCCAATACTAAAATAGAAATGAATAAACTTCTCCGATTGATGGTCTGTTAACTTCTTCTTCTTCTTCTTCTATTTAATGGCGGTTGGCAAACAACTATGTGGTGCAATACCGCCACTAACCAGCAAGGAGTGTGGATCGCAAAACGTTTGCAAGATCTCGCAATACTTTTGCGAGATCTCGCAAAACGTTTGCAAGATCTCGCAATACTTTTGCGAGATCTCGCAAAAGTTTTTTTTTTCCTCCATGTCCCTTTAGGGGCTCCGTAATTTTCTCCTGCTAAAGTTCTTTTCAGATTTTTTTTTCCAACAAAAAAAGTTTAATAAGAAAAAAAATTTCTTCATTTCACTTCATTTTTTTTAATTAAGAAATAAATTTTTTATTATTTATTTTTTAAATAATATTTTCCAGATATTTAACAGAACACTTTCTTCCGTTCTGGGGGCGGAGTTAGGTGCAAAGACGTATTTATTGACGTAAATGTTGCTGCTAGCACGGAGGCTAGCAGCAACATTTTTAGTGATCAATGTAGAAAAAGAAAAAACTAAAATAAAGGTTTAAAACAAAAAGTTAGACAACTAAATGAAAAAAAAAGTAAAAAAAAAAAAAAAGAAAGCAAAGTTACTCTAAAAATAAAATTTTTTTGGTTGCGAAAATTTAAAAAAATTAAATTTCTTGAATAGATTTTTTGTCTGAATTTTGTCCGGAAACGACCCCCAAACAAGATATTGTCTCCAAAGTCTCCAGTAGCAGAAAAAAGTCTCTAGATTTGGCGCTAGGAGCTTTTTAGAAATCAAAGTGCTAGAGGGGTCTGAAAAGTGGCTAAATATAGCGACTAAAGCGCTAAGTTGGCAACACTGCTCTTTGCATGGTTTGTTTTCAAATGGTTTGCTGCTGTCTGTTTGGACCTTTCTGAACATGTGCAGCAAATGGACTGATCCAATATGGTGGACACTGAAGGGGGGGGCTGAGACACACTTAATATTATCAGCGTTCTGATGGCATTTAAATGATTGTTAATCGAAAACATAATTAATGTGCAAAAATAAGGAATAGTTATGTAAAAGGGAGTTTTTGCTCTCCACTGTCGCTACAAGCATGCTTAGTGTGAGGGATTGCTGAAGAGTCAATGAGTCGATGCAATCAGCTGGTTTTCCTTAGATAGAAAACTTTGAATCAATCTCACTGGATGATCTGGTGAACTGGAAAGTGACCTGAGATGACATGATGTGAATTGGGGCTATAGAAATAAACTGAATTTAATTTAATTTTATGGACCCCAGAAAATTGGGGCCCTAGACACCTGCCTAGTTCTGCCTAGTGGTAAATCCGCCAGTGACATTTTTTTTTTATAAAACTCAGTTGAACTGAAGAATTTGGAGCGAATATTTTGTGTAAATGGTTGCTGTAACTAAGTGACCAATGACTCAACCTAAAACGGCCATTTTTGGTGGATTTGTCGGTGATTCTGACCCAGAGTTGGTTCAGAACTTGAATTTTTAAAACCACGTTCGTCTGTTTGTTGTGGGATCTGAGGTCATCATCTGTGTGCAGGTGAAGCATCCTCTGCGGGAGCCTCATGTGGTTCTGCTCGGCCTCCGATCCGGCGAATACGTGGTCCGAGTTCGATGCCGATCCCACAACTATGGCCTGTGGAGTAAATGGAGCTCCACTCTGCACATCAGCATCCCCTTCAGGCGGCCCACAGGTACGACCGGACTTTAATGACTTTTATTTTGATAAGAAATAAACCGGTGGCATCTTAACCATTGATGTGGTTTTGAACCTGAGTTAAGTTTTCTTTTTGGTAAAGTGTTTGTGGGACAATGTCTGCGTGTTTCTCTCTGCAGGGAAAATCCTGGTCCTGGTTCTGGTGGTGGGAGTCGGGCTGGTGGCCCTGCTGGTCATTGCCTTCGGGGTGATTCCTCAGAGCAGGAGGTGAGGAAACCTGCTTTTTTTTTTTTTTTTTTGATATTGTCATGTCATAGTGTTACCACAGAGGGCGCTGTCCCATGGTAACAACACCATGCAGCCCTCAGAAGCTCCTTTCCCACTGAAAATAGCAGGTTAATGCATGTTCATCAAACATGGCCGACCGACTAACCAGCGGTATTTAGCTCCCTTCCCACTGGCAATAAAAGTATTCACTAGATTGCTGATTGCCCGTTTGGTAGTGCGGCCATATTGGTACTCCCTAGTTAGACCGGCCGCAATGTTAACAATCCGGGCGCTACGGCGTCGACCAACGATGATGTTCTCATTTTCAGGGGGACTTAAGACTTTTAAAATAAAGATAAATTCACTTTGACACACACTGGCTGTTTTACTGTATAGCATCAGTAGATTACTGTAATTTATAATAAAAATGCATGCAATACACATATATATAAATTATTTTGTCTACGAACACCCCTCATGGGGAGTTGTGTGGCCCTGCAGGTGAAACAGGCTGTGTGAAAACGTTATATTGAGTAAGTTGCATAAAAAAATATATGAAATACGAGAAACTACATTTTCCCACCACGGGAGTCAGCGATGTCACCAACACTACATTTCCACAGAGCTTCAACTCTTGCAAATATTTGGAATTCAGTTTACTTCATTGTTCTATGCAGCCTAGGTGGAAGTTCAACCGAACAAACCCATAACTCTCCTCAATCTGCCTACGACAGCCAATCAGCTATGAGCCACGCCTCCACGGAAAGCCAATCGGCTTCCAAAGTTCATCTTAAAAGGCCTCCGATCCGCAGCTTGTCTGCAGTGGTTTTGCCGTGTGACTTCCTTTCAGATGACCCCCGTTTCAACCCCCCTCCAGCCCCTCCTCTTCCCAATAGGGAGATGTTCCTCTCCACTGTCGCTTCATGCTTTCTCATCATGGACAGGTTCCCTCAACCTCTGTTATCCAAACTGGACTTCCATCTTCTAACCAGCAGTCTACAGACTGACCAACTCCATCTATCTCCACTCCACCAGTTTCAGTCCTGGGGGGGAAACAGCTCCTGTTAATGCATATCTATCAAAATTCAGCGCTACATATTTCTGCCGAGGTCTGAGCGCCAAAGATTAAAGTAATTGTATCGATAAATTGAACAACTTTATGCAGGAATAGAATAGATGCTTGGTTCACATTAATCTGACCTTTTGCAGAGAACCATGTAAGATTTGGTCTGTATTATCACACAGCCGTATATAGAGTGATATACCAGCCTCGTCCAGCAGGGCGGCGCCTGTGGGTCTGCGTGGATGAGTAGATCGCATGTTGGCCCAGCTCACGCAGTCTCTCAATATAACAGACAGGACATTTTCCTTCATTTACTTCCTATATCAGTATTGATTTCCTGTCCTTTTTCCTTCTTTCCACGTTTTTCTTTCCTTGCTACATTTCTTCTTTCACCTTTTCCTCCTTCGTTTGTTGTGTTATGGTGCCTTCAAGTGTCAGGGCAGTTTTTCTCTACAAAATGGACATTTAAAGACGATGTTCTAAATGCATGACTGACTTTATTGAATCCACATTCAGTCCAGCATCCAAGTAGAAAGGTCACATTGGTACTATTGTGCACTTGAGTTAGCGTGACCTTTAGCCACCGTCTGTGTTTGTGTATGGGTGAGGTGAGTGGGTGCATGGGAATTCGATGCCTGAAGGTGTATATCTGAAAATGGTTGGAAAAGCTGCGATCTCAAGCATCTAATAGGATGAAACGGCCCTAAAATGGTTAATGTTTCAACAGGGTTGCATTAAAAATCATTAAAAGTCATTAAATTCTTATTTTTTTAAATCAAGGCATTAATTAATTGGAATTAAAATGGGGGAAAAAATGTGATTATGGCATTTATGTGGCATTTCAAATGCAACATTTTAAGTTTTTTAGAAACACGTTTATAAAAACAATTTCGCCAGATATATCGCGATATATTTGCGCGGAACTGCTTCTGGTTGATCGCAAAGATGCATGCTTGGAAAAGAATCCCGAGGTGGAGAAAAAGCTAGAGAATGAGGAAAAATGCGCAAATTTCAACAAAAAAAATGGCTGGAAAACGAGGAATTCGGTACATGTTTTTCATTAAATGTTTTATATATATATATATATATATATATATATATATATATATATATATAAATAAGAAATATATTTTTTATTTTGAGAATAAAGTCGTAATATTACGAGAATAAAGCCTTCATACCACAACCGTTTTCAGAAAGAAAGCTTTAAGCTCCGCCCAGCAGATGACGGCCGACCGGCTCCACCAATCAGCAACCAGATTGAACCTGAAGACGGGGCTTCTTGGAAGAGTTGTTATAAAATACAACTTGTTTCTCGTAATTTTTGGACTTTATTCTCTTAATATTATACAAATTTATTCTCGTAATTTTATGTCTATTCTCGTTGTGACCTTTTTCTCGTAATATTACGACTTTATTCTCATAATGTTACGACTTTTTCCCGTGTTATAAGAAAAACAACATCCCTAGCCTGGCCCTGATACTCTATCATATATATATGAGAGTCATGGTTACTTGTTCTTAGCATTATAATTATTTCCAAGAGCATTAAAAGTGGATTAAATGAGTCACTCATTCCTCTCTAAACCCCGTTGAAGCATCTATGCACGCTGCAGATATTAGATGCAGCTTTTCCTGCCATCCCTGATATTCTGGAAGACTCTGAGTTTAGAGAAGAGATCACCATCTTTAAAAAACCAACTGTATGAAATGTGACCTAACACTTTAAATCTGGTTATTTGTTTTTCTCTTTGTGCTTCAAATGTCTTTTTTTTCCCCTCTCTTGTTCAGAATAAAGGATTACTTCTTCCCCCCCATTCCCAAACCACGGATCATCGGGATTGACCCGCTGCTTCTGAAGGTGACATGATGCATTCTGGGAAATGTTTTAGCCTCTTGTGTTTGGAGGGAAATGCTTTCCGATAATATTCCATAAAAAGACACAAAAACGGACATTTTTTAGGATCGAACTGGAACATTTTTTTGTTATTCAATCAAA